TGCCAGCAGCCCTCCTTCAGTTATTTATAAATAAATTTTTGTTACATTTTTGAGCCTGCCTGCGCCCTGGATCAGTTCCTTGCTAAAACCTCACACCCTGGTGAGGTGTTCTGGACACGTCCCACTCTCTCTGCTTAAGTTGCTGCCCCCACAACCTGATCATGGATAAGCAGAATAAAATGGACGGACTAGATGTTCTCAGCTTTAAGACAAGCCCTCACATGCCTGGATCCAATGCTCAGAGCCAGCCTGGGGAACATAAACATCCATAGTGGGTTTTTGTGATTTCCACATTCTGGAGCTCCTCCAATAGGGGTTTATAAAGATTTTAGTGCTAGAGTTAGCCTCCAGTTGCATCCAGGAGGGAGAGGAAGTAATTGGTTAGCACTCACATGCGTAGACCTGATGCTCAGAGCCTGCATGGTAAATATCCATGGTGATTTTCATCTCCTAGAACTCTTCTAGGGCAGGTTTTGGGGGAAGTTCACCAGTTGGATCTGCCCCCGCAGCCTCCAGGTGCATCAGGAGAGGGAGGAGGTAATTGGTTTTGAACTAGAGGTCCTCAGCTTTAAGACAAGCCCTCACATGCCTGGATCTGATGCTCAAAGCCTGCATGGGGAGCCTAAACATCCATTGTGGGTTTTTATGATTTTCACCTCCTGGAGCTCTTTTAGGGCTGGTTTTTGGGGATTTTCACACCTTGGATTCACCCCCACAGCCTCCAGCTTCCTCCAGCATACAAAGCTCTTAACAACCAAGCTCCATCATATATTAAACATCTTATTGTTCCATACTTTCCTAACAGAGCACTTCACTCTCAGACTGCAGGTTTACTTGTGGTTCCTGGAGTTTCTAAAAGTAGAATGGGAGGCAGAGCTTTCAGTTATCAAGCTCCTCTCTTGTGGAACCAACTTCCAGTTTCTGTCCGTGAGGCTGACACTCTGTCTACTTTTAATACACTTAAGTGCTTCATTTTATATAGTTATGGTTGGCATTGGTTTCCTGATGTACTCTTTAGTTTTGATGCAATAGGCTCAGACTGCTGAAGGACATACTGACCACATTTACATTCTGCTTCTCTCTGTGTAACTCTCCATATTTGTATTTGTAATTATTTCTATCAATAACATGTTTTTCTTGTGTTTCTCTCCCATATAAACCCTGTACCTGAACCAGTAATTCTATTTATTTTTCTGATCCTTTTTAACCCCAGATAGTCGAGGCAGATGGTGATTCTTTTAAGTCCACTTCTGGCTCTGATGGAGGTTTTTCTCCTCTTAAAAGGAAGTAACCCCTTTTCACTTTTTACAGCGTACTACTCAGAATGGGAGGTTGGGACACAATGAAGATTCAACACGATCTGCTTGCTTCCTTAGATGGACAACTTTTACAAACTGGAATTTTATAAGGACTGTTTTTGTACAGCGCCCTATATACAATGGGTAAAATAAGTGTTGAACACGTCACCATTTTTCTCAGTAAATATATTACTAGAGGTGCTAATGACATGAAATTTTCACCAGATGTCGGTAACAACCCAAGTATATAAGCATTTAAATAATGAGTGTTTCCATACNTGGATCTCTCTTCAGCGGCTCGTATGTGGTCATGTTGCTAAGGAATGTCATGATCTTATCTTCATAGTCCTTCTGGTTCAGAATAACTGTGCACCTTCCTTTGTCTGCTGGAAGAATGATGATGTTCTTGACCTTGCTGAGAGTAGTGAGAGCATCTCTCTCTTCTCTGCTGATATTAAAAGTGGTGGTTTGGCATTGCTGAGGCAGGCTGAAACTTTATTCCTAAGTTGCTCTGCTTCAAATACTGGGATTTTGTTGTTTCGAATGGCTGATTCTGTGGCTGTAATCATCTCAACAAAAGGGATTCTTGTTGGTGCGGCCGCAAAGGCTGGGCTTAAAAGCCTGAATTTTGCCTGAAACTCTCAGACTGAAGAAGTCTCTTGGAGAAGAGACGAAATGTTTCATTAGAGAAGAACCCGTCCAGAAGACCTACACAATTTATTTTCTTTTTGATTTTTTACCTGGATTACTGAGATGCATCAGGACACTATGTTCATTTGCTTGGTTCACTGGCCAGGTTATGTCACATAGATTAACTTCATGTTAATCATTTGCAGTGACTGTAACTTTGTTTTTGTTCTTTCACATGATTTTTTTAAAATAAATGTTTAGCTTTAATCTTTAATTTTTAAAGCTCCTCTGTGGCAGGGCACCAGGTATGGATGAGATTTGCCCCGAGATGCTGAAGTCTCTGGATGTTGTGGGGCTGTCATGGTTTTCACATCTTTTCAGCATCGCATGGAGAACTGGGACAACTCCTGTGGAGTGCCAGTCAAGGGTAGTGGTTCCCATTTTTAAAAAAGTGGACAAGAGAGTGTGTTCTAAAACTGCAAGGGAAGCTTAGCTTCCCCTAAAATGTCAAAAATATAAGTGATCAAATATATACTGTTGTGTGTACATGTCATTGACTAAATATGCTCTACAACGTGCTCAACTTTTGTTGAGAATCAGCTTCTTATCACTGGTAATGACACAGCTTTCCTACTCATTCCCGCAGCTTCACAGTGCTTTAAACAGTGTGGATGCTCAGTGTCCACAGAGTTCAATAGCGAAGCAAAGAGTGCAGCGTAACGAGTCATACGATAAACGCTGGGCTTTGTCCCGCCCATCGGACACTCAGCATCTCTGGGGGTGTATGGGGCAGTTGGCTGGCCTCGGCTGGCCCAGACGCTCAGCTTCTGCATGATGATTGGAGGATCTGTCTGAGGCTGAATCCCTTTTTGATTGACAGCGAAATGAGCGAATCAGCAATCTTTTGGTGTAAACATCCGTGGAAGCATTTTTTAGTTTCATTCTGTTTTGAGTTGAACCAGAGACTTTATTAATCCTTTTAGCAGCATTTTCTTTGTTAAAAGCTACTAGTGACAAATCAAGCTTCTATTTCTGGTGTATTTTATTTTTATTTATTTATTTATTTTGTAGCTGCTTGTGTTTGGAGACTGACTTCTATCACTCTTTCTGACTTCTATTACAGTTTCTGTCCAGCGGGTGCTGCTAAGCCCCTCCACCCCTCCACCGTGAAAAGGAACAGAGGGTAGAATTTATGTATACATAAATTTTATGATGTTGGCCGAAATTGAGCTTCCCCTCCTTGAAAGACCAGCATTTGCCACTGGTGGGATCACACTTCTCACTCTCTCTGGGAAAGTTTACTCCAGGGTGTTGGAAAGGAGGCTCTGATCGCTTGTCAAGCCTTGGATTCAAGAAGAGCAGTGTGGCTTTCATCCTGGGTGTGGAACAGTGGAACAGATCTTTACCCTTGCAGAGTTGCTAAGGGGATCGTGGGAGTTTGCCTCTCCAGTCTACATGTGTTTTGTAGACTTGGAGAAGGCTTATGACTGTGTTCCTCGAGGAATTCCTTGGGAGGCACTGCTGGAGTATGGAGTGTCTGGGTTGATACTAAGAGGAATCCAGTCCCCATATAACCAAAGCAGGAGCTGCATTCACATTCTTGGCACAACGTCGGGCTTGTTCTTGTTAGACTGTGCCAGGGCTGTCCCTTGTCTTCAATCCTGTTTGTAGTGTTTATGGTCAGGATCTCAAGGTGCAGTAATTATGATTTTGTCCCGGTCTGCCCAGATCTTGTCTCAGTTTAATTATATTATTTTATTTCTTGTTCCAGTTCATCCTCATAGTCTTGTTCCCAGCCTTTCAGCTCACATCCAGCTCCTGCTCATTGCTCTCGCCCCTCCCGTCATAGAAACTCTAATCAAGCTCATTTCACTCACCTGTTTCCAGTGCTATACAGTACAACCGAGTCTCACCCTCCAGTTCACTGCCAGATTATCATGTAGCAGTAACTTAGATGGACTGTCTACCTCAAGACTTTGGCCCAAAGCATTATTCTGTCTCATGCCTACAAGAAAACAATGATTCATTCATTTGCCTCCAGGATTGTTTACTACCTACAAGTGGTAAAGATAACAACAGGATACAACAGACCTCCTGTTGTTTGAGTATGGCAAGAACTCTCTGATGTGCTCAAAATGGCCGYTTATCACAAAAGAACTCAAGATCTTCGCAGACATGGTGTCTGACCGTATGGGTCTGCCAGTGAGAAAAAGCCTTTTGAAGCCAGACTCCCTGTTGATATATAACACCCAGATCAACTTCAAAAGCAATTGTTACATACCACCTCATTTATGGTATCAGAGCGCCACCAAAAGACTGGTTTTATAATTACACCATGAACRTATGTTTTTCTGTATTTCTCATTCTGATATAAAAGATAAAAGAATTATTGTATTTTCTACGTGATTCAATCAGTTGGAACAATGTATTGTTTAATCACTTCACAAGCAAGCTTATTTCTGTGTGTGTTTGTAATCAATTTCAGTGATGACAAACTGTGTAAGAAGACAGGTCATGTGACCATTCTTCAACCAATCATGAGCTTCAGAGCCAGGACAATAGGAGTCAGTTTAGCAGCAAAGAGTTAGAAGAAGTTGTGCAGCAGCAGAGGTCAGCAGATGAAGAAGAGGATGGAGAAGTGAAGGACTAGATCCAGTCCCTGAGAGGATATTATTTTATTTTAATAATTTTTTTTATTATTTTATTTTATTTTCGTACTTTGACGGAGGTGTTTGGGAGTAAACAAGTTGCGTAGAATTCTAAACTGACTTTCAGTCACAAAGTCAGGACCCAGCAGAACCGCAGAGGCGTGCCGGACTTGCGTGAGCTGAGAGGGAGCCAACCCTATCCGAGCGCCAGACTATCTACATGGGACTTTGTGAGACAGTCTAAAAGCTAACCTTCATCCAGAGGTAAGACAAGGCTGTTGGTCTGAACCATCGCTAAGTACCCCCAGAGGTCTGCAGACTGCTCCGGTGAGCCACGCTTAACTCCYATTTTAATCTGCGGGTGTGCTCTCTTTGTGGATGTAAAAAAGTTGGAATTAGCGCAAGTTGTGTTCTAACATATAACTTGGTAAATTTTCTTTAATTTACGTCTCTCTTATGTAGATTAATTCTTTCTTTTATTAACCTTTAAGTTTCTAATTTTTGTTAGTGTAGATTAGTTAAGTGATTCAAGTGAAGGATGTTAGAGTATTATGGAATGACATTAATGTTTATGATTAAACCTCAAGGCTTTGATGATAATGTTTCTGTCTGCCCAAATAATCTGTTGTATTGTTATCTCTGGATCAATTTAATATAGGGTATATTTTGAAATTTCGTTAGTCTGTGCGTCATTTATTGGGTCCGTTCTTGAAAATGATAGAATTCACTACTCATTAATTGAGACTGATTTAACATCTATAAATTAATTTCCTGAAAAATCAGGTGGTGCCCTTTATTAGTTAATAACTACGAGGTATTTATGATGTAGCAATTGTCTATAACATCGACAACAAGCAAATCCCTACATATTATTTTGGTCCCGCGTGCGAGGCTCAGAAAAGATGCGAATCCGATAATAAGCGCACAAATAGACATAAACTTTCCTTCATGTATTCTCTGAGTGTACAGCGTATATCAATTTTTAAAAATGGTGGACATTTTTAATCTACACGATATCTGCGCCTATAGGAAATAAGACGTCAAAACGGACGCGTTGTGACGGCTCTCTAACTCCTTTTTCTCTCTCTCTCTCTCCTCCCCTCCACCCTATGCGCAAACCTTTATTATTTTTTTATGTTTTTATTTAGCTACAGACGTCAGAAAGAAAAAAACGACCGAATCTCTTCTTCATGAAATATAAACAGAAAATCAGTTTCTGTTTATAATATCGCGCGTTTTGAAAGTCGACAGGTTTAAGAAAAAAAATTGAAAAAATAATTGATTTTCTGAACCATACAAGTTTGTACTTTTCTCTGACTGATTCTCACGAGAACGTACAATCATTTCACGTTCCTTAACACGAATTAATCAATCGTTGTTTTTGGAAGATTTTATCTTTTAATAGAGGATAAAATTAAGGTGAAATTGAGCTCTGACAGAGTTTACCCAATTTGGAAAGGTCTTACGCGCGTCGCGCCCCTTTGCCAAAGCGCCGCCGTGCGCCGAACAGCTCTCCAAGCTGCTTGAACTGAAGCCTCCGCGCGCACCAAGCAGTTTTGCCCTGCTCCGTGCGACTCGCTGCGTGTGTGATCACAGAACCGCTGTGATCACCTGTCTAAGAGTTTTGACTAAAAACCGAGTCAAAACAGATCTTTCCTGAACTTTAAAGACGCGCGCACCTGAGCAGCTTCGCCTGCTGCATGCTTTATGCGCCTCGCTGCGTGTGTGATCACAGAACCGCTGTGATCACCTGTTTAAAAGTTTGCTAAAACTTAGTCAAAGCAAACCTCATTCTGAGCTTAAAAAGTTGCTCGTTGCATAAGGCGACCTATTTTGAAAGGCAGAACTGAAGCTGTTGAAATTCTGTTGTGTCCAGCCGCCGCGCTGTGATTTGTGTTCAGCTGCGGAGCTGAACCGCTGCTCGCTGTTTGCATGTAAAGCTGTTAGCTGTTTGCAAAAGTTTAAAGCTGTGTTTTTTATTTTTATTTTATAAAGCTGTGTCATTTTGCATGACTGGAACTGCGTCCCTCTGCTCACAAGCCTTGCTCACTGAGCAGCGCCTAATTTTCTTAAAGCCACAGCGTATAGCTTTGTTTTGACTACAAAAAGGCCGCCATTTTGACCCGACAGACTCGTAATAAGAACTACAATTCCCAAGACGACGTCGTGACGTCATCACGCAGATTTTATCTTATAATAGAGAATAAAATTAAGGTGAAATTGAGCTCTGACAGAGTTTACCCAATTTGGAAAGGTCTTACGCG